ATTTCAGCACTATGCATATTGGAACTGCTTAGCAAAACTGCTCCAGGATCTTTGGCAGTCATTTGGCAAAGTTATATTTCTACCAAGAGCAAAAGCATTTCGCTCTACAAATATTAAGATTTATACAGATGTTGGGTATTTATGGATACTCAACTAAAAATAATCCAAACTTGTTTCTACGTCGTATGAGAAAGAATAAACAAATCTAACTAGAGAGCAAGACGTTTTCTGTTTTTTCATGAAAACAATAGAACAGTTCTAAAATTGTGGAAGCAAATAAATCAAATTATTTACAGTGGCTACATAAGGATGGAGAGATTAATTCTTATTTCTGAAATTTCTGTAATATGTATGAGTGACTTGTACAATGAAAATATTTAAAATCATCATTAAACTGAGTTAATATGAGAAGAAATTCCATTTTATCATCATCCTAGGGCCGTAAATAAAACAATGAATCTGCACTATTTTTATTTCTAAAAAAAGGTTGAGAATGTTCTTTTTAGAGTCACATGACGATCACCTTAAATGACATTACAATAGGCCTAAAATCTCCCAAATGCAAATGGTAGAGATTGGCAGATAAATCACGGAATGAGGGGAAAGAAAATTTTAGGCCTATTTTCGGAACTGTTTAAAAGGCCAAAATGTCGGGTTGTGTTGGGATTCAGGCTCCAGGTTTAAGAAGGTCTCACACAAAGAACATGAAGAATAAACACCAGATATTTGTGAATGTATCATGTGCAAAAGCACTGGGGTTCAAAGGTCTGTGTTATCAGAAGCTCAGGATCAATGCATGCTAAGAGCAATCCTCCCCTGCCCAGTACTGTGAACCAGTAAGACACAACCGTATAGCCAGCTTCCCTGCCAACCGAAACCTGGGAAGTCACTCCAACTCTTTCCCGCGTCGGATTAGCTACACCCCCAGGGAGCCTCCATCTTGTCACAGCAGAGTGCCTGCATCTTCATTCCCATGCCTATACCTTCCTTCACTCTCTGGGTATTTAGCGGTTCCCTTGCAGGGCTTTGCGGGGTGCACCCCCTTGCAATTCCCCTCCATCATGGAGCCTGAGTGATGGTTCTAAAATGCCAACCTGGGGTGTCTGGCTGGCTCAGTCAGTAGAGCATGCAACTCTTGATCTCGGGGCTGTGAGTTCAAGTCCTACCTTGGGTGTAGGGATTACCTAAAAAAAAAAAATTTTTTTTTAAATCTTTAAAATTGTTCACTGTATGCTTTAAGTCCTTTGGTGATTGTCCATCATGTCCTGGCCTCTTTCACACAAACCCTTCCCACCTTGAGTTAGCCTGTTTTTAGCCTCCCCCAGTCTAGAACATTCTCCCCTCTTTATTCTAGCTAACAACTCCAGCAAGTCTTTCAACACCTGGGTCTAGTCCTTTCCTCTCTCTGCAAGTCTTCAAAGGCTTCTCATTCTGATTGCAAAGCCATCCTCTGCTCTCAAATCATCCCCTGCAGGTTCCTACCATGGTATGAGCCACACTGTATTGCCATTGTCCATTCATATATCCAATCAACAGGCCACCAGGCATAATATACCTGGAGGCAGGTGTGCTGCCATACTCAGCCTTGCTTCTCCAGGGCCTAAACCATTCTTGCACATGGCACTTGGCACAGTTCTAAGCAGTTGATATAAATATTAACTCATACACTCTTCATAGTATCACATGGTTATTAGAAGAACATATAAACATTTGTTCAACAAATGCATTTTGAGTGTCTAGCAGGTGCCAGATACAATTTTTGGCACTGGGGATTCAGAAGTGAACAAGACATACAAACTTGTGATCTCCATGAGTTTATCTGTTGAGGCAAATGGATGATAAACAGATAAACAGGTATATAATATGTTGTGGGGCAGTGAGAGGAGGTATAAAGAAAAATAAAGCCAGACAAGGGGATGAAACGTGACAAAGATGTCATTTTAGCCAGGATGGTCGGGCAAGGCAATCTGAGGAGGGGATATCTGAGCAGAGACCTGAGTAAAGGGAGAGAGGGAGCCACGTGGATATGTCGGGGTGGAAGGAGGGCGCACATGGAAGGGGGGCATGCAGAGGAAACAGCAAGTGCAAAGGCCCTGAGACACAAACAGGCTCTGCTGTCCAGGGCAGTGGGAAGGCCAGTGTGCTGGAATGCAGGCTGTGGGGTAGAGAGTTGTAGGTGAAGAGGTGTGCAAGGCAGGCGGTTAGCTCAGGTAGACCTTTTCAGTCTATCCTGAAGCCTTTGGGGTTTATTCACTGGTAGGTATCAAGCCTGGTGGGACACGATTGTACTTATCTTTTAAAGATTTGTTCTGGCTGGGACACCTAGGTGGTGCCATCAGTTGAGCATCTGATCTTGGTTTTGGCTCAGGTCCTGATCTCATGGTTGTGAGATCGAGCCTCATGTTGGGCTCTGCACTCAGTGTGGAGTCTGCTTGAGATTCACTTTCCCTTTCCCGCTCGTGCTCTCTCTCAAATATTTTATTAATATTTTAATATTTAAAAAATTAGATTAGATTTAAAAATCTAATATTTTAAATATTAAAGTTTCACTCTGGCTGCTGTGTGGAGAATATGGACTGCGGGGGAAGCAGTAAGTGTGCAAGGAGGTAGACCAGCAAGGAGGTGAATGCTGTGGTCCAGGCAGTGATGATGGTGACCCCGGGTCCCCACCATGCAGGGAAGCTGTCAGACTCTGGATGCATTTTGCAAGCTGAGCAGACAGGCCCTGCTGTTGCTCGACTATAGAGCATATACGAGAGAGGAGCCGTGGATGCTTCCAAGGTTTTTGGCCAAATGGTGGGCTGGCCATGCCATTTGCTGAGATGGGAATGACTGGGGGAGGGATGGTTTGGGGGAAGGTTGGAGACGAAGCCTTCTGTTTTAGATCTGTAAGTCTGAGTTGCTGCCAGGATTCAGTTTTGTCTTCTCTGAAATGGGGATGATGTTTGTTTTATACATTTGATGACAATCAAATGTGATCATTTTCTCTTGATATTACACAGATGTCAGGTTTATTTTTATTCACACGGAAGCTAAGGGTAGAGTTCCCTTTAAAAGAACACAAACTACCTCTTACTGGCTAGATATTGCTGCCCTCGTATTAACTGGCTCTCATATCAAGAAATGATGTTGGTAACAGACCCCTCTCCATATTTATTTAACATTTATCTAGAGCTTACTATGTGCCAGACACTATTCTAAGGACTTTATAAAAATAACCCCTATAGTCCTCCGTTATTACCCTGACTTAACAGATAGAACCGTGGCCCAAAAAGCAGAAGTATTTGCTTAAGGTCCCATGGCTAGTAAATGGCAGAGCCGAGAGTAAACCCCAGGTGCTCTGGCTCTGCTTCCAACCCCAAAGCCAAGCGCCACCTCCCCTGCTCTAGATGAGCCACTGCCAAGGCTGACATAGGACCTGGCCTCTTGTGTAGCGGGATGGTGCCTCGTGTCGGACACCATCGCCTGCACCCCTTTGCCCCCGTAGGCGGTCCTGCCTCCATCCTTACAAAACCTCAGCTCAAAAGAACCCTGTCAGTACTGATGGCAATACTCCTTTTGTCTCAGAACTTCCCAGGCCGCTGGCAGCTACTCAGAGCACTCAGTGTCCTCTGTGCCTTTCTTCTAACACCCTGAGGTCAGCCACCTCCCCCCATTGCAACACACGAGCTTTTTCGGTATCCTGCTCTCTCCACGCACCCGCCTCATTGCCAGTTGTTACAAGTTGTTTTAAATGCTTGCAAGTATCACGTTTTCCACTCCCGCGTTGAAGCAGACCATGTGCCACGTTGAGCTGAGGGAAGACAAGAGAGGAGCATGCCAGGACCCCTGACCTCTCATGAGACTTTGAGCTGGAAGCCAAGGTTCCGTACCAATTCAGCTTTGGGTCCCTCATCCCAGCACCTGGGGGCACAAAGTGGACACTCGGTGAATATTCATTTATTTAGCAAATGTTTACTGAGGGCTTACTACCTACAGGCCAGTGTGATGGGTGCCAAGGATCTGCGCCCAGGCGGGTGCAGGGCGAGCTTCAGCCGGCCCCCCTCCCTCCAAAGGAGCAGAGGGTGGGGATGAGGGTGCAGGCTAGGGAGTGAGGCGGCGGGGGGCGGGAGGGGGCGTAAGCGGCGAAAGAAGCCAAAGCGAGAGGTCGAGTGACTGGCATAGCTTCTGGCCAGGGCTTCCTCTCCGTCTGGAAACCCAGCTCGCCCAGACGTGGACACACATGCCGCAGCCGCTTCGGGGACGGCTCACCTAGCGTCTGGTCTGCTCAGGCGCTGGCCTCGCGGGGAAAGCAGAGCGTGTTAAGACTGGGAGGAAGGCGGCTGGACCGAGCGAGCGCGGCGGGAGGGCTGCTGTAGGGTTGGAGCAAGCTCTCTTGGAGAGAGAACTCTCCAGCTCACCGCCCAAACTCTGGAGCCTAGCCTGGATTCTAATGTCAGGCCCGCTGCTTACCTATCGTGTGACCTTGTGCAAGTCACTTACCTTTCCCGGGTCTCAACTGCATCATCAGTTAAATGGGTTGCACCAATAACCTTAAGGCTGGTGCAAGGATTAAGAGGGAATGTCTGAAAAGCTTCCCTAGTGTGGTTCTCCGCACGTAGGAAACGCTCCCGCTCCGCGGCTCACACCTCGCAGGGCTCCGCCCACCCACCCCCCCCGCCCCCGGACGCCCCCGGGCCGGGTCGCCCACCGCCCGCTTCCCAGGGACTGACGAGCGGCCCAGTAGGGCGCGCCGGGCCCCGATGGATTTATTGGCCTGCTTGGGGCGGGGTTTGGGAAGAGGCGAGCAAGGGAAGGAGGAGGTGAGGGCGAAGAAAGGGAAGCCGCGGAGGGGCCGGAGGCGCGCTGGGCGGGGCCGGGGAAGAGCCGGGCTGGGTTCCTGGGCCCCGCGCGGCGCGCACCGGGAGCCCGCGGCGGCGGGGGCGGGGGCGGCGCGCGGCGGCCAATGGCGCGCGGCGCTGCGGCGGGGGCGGTGCAGGAGCACCCGGCTGCTGACAGCCAAACTCACCAACTCCGCCCTCGTCCCCGCGGGATCCCGGAGCCCGAGCCGGCCTGGGGCCGAGGCCGCCCGAGCCGCGCTGCGAGCGAACATGGCAGCAGAATGAGAAGGCCGGCGTCGGGTCGTGGCCGCCGGCGCCGCGCTGCAGCTCGAGATCCGCGCCCGGCGCCCTCCGAGCCGCGTGCTTAGCCGGCCTCCTGGTGGCCGCTGGATTATTTCATTTGGAGCCGAGGGCGGGCGAGCAGGGGGACCCCGCAGCCGCGCCGGTCCGTGCTCTGGCTGGGTGTAGAGGCTCGTGCGTGCGAGTCGCCGGCTGCGGAAACCACGCGGGAGAGAGCGGGTCCCGGGCTGCGGCGGCGCGGACGCGGGGATGAGCCGGCCATGGGGCGGCCTCGGCGGGGCTCGCGGAGCCGGCCGGCGCTGCGGCGGGGGCGCTGCCTGAGCCGGGGCTCCGCGGGGCTTCGGGGCCTCGGACGCCCCGGGGGGGTCCCTGCCACCGCCCCCGGGAGGGACGAGAGCCCCGCGTGGCGGACACTGCAGCAGACGCCGTACTGAGGCGCCCCGAGCCTGCTCCGCCTGCAGCTCGGTGCGCTCTCGGCACCCGGGCGCCTTGCCCGGGGCACGGGCGGCTGGCGCACCGCCGCGAGCCGGGTGCAGGACTGGCTAGAGGGGTGTGTGTGTGGGAGTGTTCGATTGGAGATCTGAGCTATAGCAGAACCCGGCGGACCAGAGCAGCCATGCTTCCCGGGGTGGGCGTGTTCGGCACCAGCCTCACGGCCCGTGTCATCATCCCGCTGCTGAAAGATGAGGGCTTCGCGGTGAAGGCGCTGTGGGGCCGCACGCAGGAGGAAGCCGAGGAGCTGGCCAAGGAGATGAGCGTCCCCTTCTACACCAGCCGCATTGACGAGGTGCTGCTGCATCAGGACGTGGACTTGGTGTGCATCAACCTGCCGCCGCCCCTCACCAGGCAGATCGCTGTCAAAACCCTGGGTGAGCGACCCCTCTCCCCTCCAGCCCCTTTCCTCCCCTGCTGCTTTTCTGATCTCGCCCCCTCTGCATCCCAGAGGCTTACGAGGCATCTACGCCGGGCCCTGGGACCTGAGAAGCCACATGCCACTCGGAGCTCCCTCCCTCCTCCCCGGCCTTCCCTGCCTCTGCGCTTCTTCTCTCCTCCCTTTTGGCACCACCTGGACGCGCCTTCCCACGTGCGTGGCGCGGAGGCTGGAGGAGGCGTGTGTGTTCCGGGCTGGCGACAAGGCGGATCGGATGCTGAGGACCAGGCACGAGCTGCTCTCAGGAAGAGAAAACTAAGTCCCCAGCTGTGCCTGTAGGGCCCCGAGTGTGTGCGTGGGTGCGCGCCTGCGAGAGGGGAGTGCGCGCCCAGGAACGCGCGGATAAAGGGCCCCACACGTGTGGTGGGTTTTCCTGGGGGCGGTAGACTACTTGACGGGTAGCAGCTGCGGCGCCCTGCTAGGCCAGTTTGCTTCTTCCTGCTGTTAGTTTGGTGTGAGATTAGAAGGTGACGTTCAGCTGGTATTATTGCGCCTTCGCCTTCGGCGTGGATGGCGGGAGTGATTGGATGGGGGTGGGGTATGCCCTGGGACGGTCTTCCAAGAGGTCCTGGGTTAGTAACCAACCGGTTTGGCAAAACCAGGGGGATTGAACTGTCGAGTGTGGCCTCTCGGGAATTGTCTTCTGCGTGGGTTTGAAATAATGTTAAAATTTTCGGGGATGGTTGCAGTAGTTCCGGAGGCATGGATGCTTTGTGTGGGAAAAGGCCCAACGCAACCAGTTTCACATGGGAGCATGCCGTAGTCCCTCCTTAATAACCGTCAGGAAAGTTCCCAGGCCTGATGTTGACAAGCAGGTTGGGAATGAGCTCACCGCCCCTCGCCATCCGGTCCCCCCACCTAACGCAAGGGGGCTGAACAATCCCAGAGCGCAGAACATCGGCGTCCCTGACATGCCCAGTGGAAAAAGGAGCGCATAGTTTGTCCATCAGCAGTTCTCGCATGTACCTAAGACAGTCCCAGGAATACTGTTCACTCCTTACTCTCCCAGGCAATGTAACACCCACCCTTGAAAGTTGGAATTCTTATTGATGAGGAAAGAGACAAAGCTTATGGCACAGGACACGACATTAAAGAAAAGTTACAGGGCAAGAGCAGGTCCAGTACTCAGAAACCAATCAATGGTAATATATGTCATCTTGGAAGCCATGTTTTATTTTTTAAAACTGGCCTGAATTTAGGGTAGGTGAAATGTACATATATGTTAATTCTATCTTCAGAGACCTAGGACCAGAAGGTACAACTCTTTCTTCCTAGAAAACCATTTTTTATCAGCCCATTCCGCTGTTGACTCCAAGAAGGAGAAGGGAGAGAAGGGAGGTCTGATAGAATTCCTAAGGAGGCTGCTCAAGGCTGTCAGTTTGTTTTCATGTTAATTTTATTAAGTTTCTGATATTTGTTCCTTATTTTCTTTGGCCTTGAATGTCATTGGGTTCTGACTTTTCTGTTTGATGTAGCCTATATACTGGGTTGCTCACCTTTGTGCTTACAGTGGATCTGCGTATATCAGACAGGTTATAACCATCCAAATGGCATAAATCTATTGGGTCGCTTTGTATCCAACAGGTCTGTCCTGAGTTCTGTTTCTATAGAGAGCCCATGAGTGGTCATATCAGAAAGACCTTGTAACATTGCTTTTCCCCACTATGGCAGCACAGTCCTGCACGTCCTCAGCCCTAAGGCCTACCTCCAGGAAAGTGGCCATTCCGGGAACAAGGATGTTGTTCCTATTTTGGACCCTCTCTTGTAGTTTAGCCAAGAAAGCATTTGGGGGCTCTGGGTTGGAGAGAAGTGGTACAAATTACACATTTCTGGATACTTATTTTCAAAAATTCCTATGATTTTTTTTTCCCTTGGCAAGATTAACATTTGAAGTTACCTCTTCAAAACCAAGCAAGAGGCTTCAGAAATAGACCTAGTTTAATAATCATGACTAAGGACTAGGGTTTTGTTTATATTTTTGTAGTAAGTCTTGGGCTTTTTTTTTTACCTCCTGATTTTGCAGATAATTTGAGATAGTTTGTGATTATAGAAAATGCGGGGGTCATTGAATTTAGATGTGGCTGGACTTTTGTCTCATTCCCCAGTTCATCTTCACTGGAAAATGCCCAGGGGTCACTTTCACATTGTATTTGTGAGTATGCAGCTGGGGAGTTGTCTTGGTGTGCTTTGTTGTCATGGTTAGAGGTCCAACACACACACACACACACACACACACACACAAAACACAGGAAGTGAAACACCCCTAACAGTTATAGAGCTGGTTTGGCCGTTGGGGGTTTATAGATGCTAGTGTTTGCCTGGAATTGGAACAAGCCAGTCTTGACCAGTCCCGGTGAAGTGTCCTCCTTTTGGCCAAGGCCTGGCCTTTGAGTTGCTTGCGCAGCGATGGTGGGTGGTCTGCGGCCCTCCATCCATACTCATGACGGGTCTCTGGTCTGTCAAGGGGAGGGGCTGGTCTGGGCACCATTGAGGAATGACACTCGGAGTCAATAGAATCATAGATATCCTCCTTGAATTTCTAAAAATTCCCTTGAAATCCCTCCTTTGGTGAACTAGGCATTTGTCTGTTGTAGAGACTTTTTTCAGCTCTTTTGTACAACTTTTTACAGTGCCCACCACGTGCCAGGCAGTGTGGCAGGTGCTGTGTATAAAACACTTCCCTTCACCATGAGAATGGCCCCCTAGCCTAGCTCGTAGCCTCATTTTACAAATGAGGCAAACTAAAATTCAGAGAGCTGAGTGGCCTTGCTCAGGGACGCATAGCCAGGGATTTGAACCTGCCCATCTGCCTCCCCAGAGTCCTTTCTTCCTGTTCCATCCCCTAAAGTTGCTCCTTGGCCTCAGTTCCTTCTCTCAGATCGAAGTAGCTCAGATGAGATCTTTGGCGCTCTCCTTTGTTCCTGTTCACCCCACGCATGGAATCCGTTCTCTCTTGAATCTGTTCCTTTTTCTCCATCATCGCTTCCTTCCTAGAAGGAACGAGGCCCCTACCTCGGTCTCTGAGCGAGCTTGCCTGCCCCTCCTCACCACTGCCTCTCTCCATCTTCCACATGGCTGCCAGGCTTTCCTTGGAGAACCTCAGACTTGATCGTGTCACTGCGCCCCCCCTTTCGTCACTTCTAGGAAGAGTCCCAACTTCTTGGCATGACAGGCAAGGGCCTTGCCTGTGATGAGCCTTGCCCAGTCTCCTGTCCTGCTGGCTGTTCTGGAACCCCAAGGGCTTCAGCTAACCCCAGAACTTCCGGTGTGTCCTCGAACGGACCCTGTTTGATTATAGGTCTGTGCCTCTGCCTTGTGTTTGTGATGGATGCCTTTCCACCCTGCAAGACTCGGCCCCGAGGTTGCCTCCTCCCTGAAGTCTCCCCCTTTTCTCGGTCTTGCCCCTCATGTACCCTGCTGGGGTCTCAGCACCAAAGGCTGCTCCCATCTTTTCTTGAACCTATTTTAGTGCATTTGTGTAAAAGTTAAGTTTTATTTAGTTATTTTGAATAGGTCATATATATATCCACGTGGTATAAATTGGAAATACTATAAAAGTGCACAGTGAAGGGTAAGTGTCCACCAGTCCCTGTTCTTCAACTAGAGGCAGTCCCAGGTTGTTTTTTGTTTTTTTTTTTAATGTCTCCTTTTGAAGATTTTGCTAGGTATGTGCTGGCAAATATGTTTGTGAGCATTTTTTAAATCTTTTTTACATAGTTGGTAACGTCTCATACACACTGTCATATACCTTGCTTTTGTCATGCAACAGTATTATCTTGAGAAGAATTTATGTATACACTCACATACACATCTGTATGTATATAAAAAAACAGCATACGAAAGTATCCATGTTCTTAGTTTTTGCTGTATAGTATTTCATTGTGTGGACTAATCAAAATTTATTTAACCAGTTCCCTATTAGTCCGCATTTAGGTTGTTTTCCTAATCTTTTGCTTCTACAAACGTGTAATGAATAACCTAGAACCTATGTCCGTTTGCACACACATCAGTGTGCTTGTAGGGTCAGTCTGTGAGCTGCCGGTCAAAAAGTATGTGCTCATTTCCTTTAACAAAGATGTTGCCAAATTAACCGGCCCCTGAAATGACACCGCTGTTTGTCGATTTCCTTGTGCGCCTCGCTCTGCCAGCCCCTTGACTGTCCCGTGCCTGAAGGCAGCCAGGATGGGGTCACTCACCTTAGTATCCAGAGCAGTATAGCTCCCAGCCAGCCTTTGGGGTCAGTCCAGACCTATGTCTAATTTGTCCTCCCGCACCTAGACTATGCAGTGAGCCACCTGCTGCCTCCCTACGTCCACTCCTGTTCCTTACCCAGTCTGGTCTCTGTACAACAGGAGAGTGGCATACATACACATATATGGCGCTATGTCATTCCCTGCTCAGAGGCTCTCAGCGGTTCCCCTGGCACTTGGAGCAACATTCAGGTTTTTTTTTTTGGCCTGAACTGGCTCTGCCTAGCAATCTCTGTCACCTTTTTGGCGACTGTATACTCTCCCTGACCCTCCAGCTACTTGGGCCTTTTTACTCAAACACACCAGCCCCTTTCCGAACTCTGGGCCTTTGCAAACTGGCTTTTCCCTCTGCCTGGAGGGTTCCCCCTCACTCCTCTGAAGGGCTAGCTCATTCTCACTTTCAAGTTTCACCTCAGATGTTCTGTCAGGAGAGAGGCCTTTCTGGTCCTCCCCTCCCAACCAAAAGTTCTTTTTCCTCACTTCTCAATTATACCTCTGCATGTTCTGGGTGGTACCATCACTGTTTGTGATGACCTCTTTCATTTATTTGCTTGTTCTATTTGCTATTTGTCTCCCGAACGGGAAAGAAAGTTCTTTGAGGTAGGGCCTGTGACTGCTTTGCTCACCAGGGTGGCCTTATTTCCCCTAGACAGTGCCAAGCACTGAGTCACCCAGTAGGCACCCTGTA